CCAAAAAAAAAGTCTCGTGTGTCCTTGGCTAGAAGTAAAGCATGGGGAATTCCCTCAGGTGCTGGAAGAAATGGAGAGAAGTTGGAGATCTGTGGGTTTGAAATTGGACTCGTCGGATCTTAGGAGGGGTGGGATTCTTTTTTAGGGAAACATACATAGAGTGATCACCATGCATCTCAAAGAGGTGTGTGCACACAGCAGCTGGAATCAAGGATAATAGGCAGACAGACTATCTGTCCCCATCCTGCACAAGGTGACTATGAATCCAGTTCTCACAGGATTCCTAATAGAAATGCTGAGAATTTCTGCCTTTGAGGAGCACTCCCCAGGGGCGAGAGGGGCAATGGAAAGAAAATAAACAAATCCCCTAAATTTCCCCCCAAATCCCCAAACTGTGCTCTCTACACGCATTCCTTAGGTGGTGTAGATGCTGAAAATCACTTCTAGATGCCAAGGGGATTTCACCTGGAAGATTGCTACTCTCAGAGTTCACAGCCCCTGTTGTCCTCTTCCCAATCCTGCACAGCAGGACAGACGTCCCTGGAGCCCACAGGAAGATGTTCCTGCTCCTCACATCACACACTAAGTCAGCCCAAACTGGAACTCAAGCAAGGAGATGCACAGAGATCCTCTTGGGAATGAGATGCAACCTGGGAGGTGTACAAGAACTGCAACATTTGTTGGCTTTTTTACTTGAAAAGCTTCTCATAACATATTAATATCTTTTCTTCTTTGAACAGTTCACAAAGGCTGGAGACAGAAAAATGTCCAACAGCAGCTCCTTCAAGGAATTCTTCCTCCTGGCATTCGCAAACATGCGGGAGCTGCAGCTTTTGCACTTCTCCCTCTTCCTGGTCATCTACCTGGCTGCCCTCCTGGGCAACGGTCTCATCATCACAGCCATAGCCTGTGACCACCGCCTTCAAACCCCCATGTACTTCTTCCTCCTCAACCTTTCCTTCCTTGATCTTGGCTGCATCTCCACCACTGTCCCTAAGTCCATGGACAATTCCCTGTGGGACAACAGGGCCATTTCCTATTCAGGATGTGCTGCCCAGGTCTTTTTCTTTGTTTTCTTTATGTCAGCAGAGTTTTCTCTCCTCACAGTCGTGGCCTATGACCGTTACGTTGCCATCTGCAGACCCCTGCACTATGGGACCCTCCTGGACAGCAGAGCTTGTGTCAAAATGGCAGCAGCTGTCTGGGGCACTTGTTTTATCACTGCTCTCCTGCACACAGGGAACACATTTTCCATACCACTCTGCCAAGGCAAGGAGGTGGAGCAGTTCTTCTGTGAAATCCCCCACATCCTCAAGCTCTCCTGTTCAGACTCCTACCTCATGGAAGTTGGGGTTCTTCTGCTTAGTCTTTCTTTAGGCTTTGGGTGTTTCATTTTCATTGTGCTGTCCTATGTGCAGATCTTCACAGTTGTGCTGAGGATCCCCTCTGAGCAGGGCCACCACAAAGCCTTTTCCATGTGCCTCCCACACCTGGCCGTGGTCTCCCTGTTGGTCAGCACTGCATTTTTTGCCTACGTGAAGCCCTCCTCCGTCTCCTCTCCAGCTCAGGATCTAACGGTTACTGTTCTGTACTCAGTGGTGCCTCCAGCAGTAAACCCCCTCATCTACAGCATGAGGAACAAGGAGATGAGGGAAGCACTGAAGAAACTTATTCCAGTGGTACTAGTTTAGCAGCAATAAGCTGACCATGTCTCTTCACAAGGGATATTGTTTCTAATACATTGATTTGTTTTGATTATTCTTATCTGTGATATCCATAACTGTGCACAAATCCTTGAATGCATCCCTTTTCCAGGGGCACAAACCCAATCTATCTGACCCACATGGCTTCTGTCCCTCACGGGGTCAGAGTTGCCCTCCCAAGTAGCATCTCTGTAGTAAAAAGGGGATTTTCTCAGCACTGTGCCTGAAGGCTGGGCTCTTCTTGCCAAACTGGAGCTAGGAATGGCCTCAGGGAATTGCACCCACGAAGGCCCTCTGGCTGTGCCTGGGGTTGCATGGGCCAAAGGGCACCAGCTCCTAGAGGGGTGTATTAGGGAATGAGGTCTGGATTCAGATGCCACTTGAGAGTGTCCAGTGCCCTGCAGAGGGTGAGTGGTTATGAGGTGTCTACCGGAGACTGTCCCACAGATTACAGACCTCTGACAGGTGCGCATCCTTCTGGGAGGGCTATGGAGCCGCCATGGAGCACAGGGCACCTCCAGGGGCGGCACGCGCTTTGAGTGGGCAGTGAGCGCTGTCCTGGGAGAGGGGCTGCGCAGAGGAGCTGCAGGCAGCTGCGATTAAAGATCTCCTGGCCACGAGAGCAGTGGGAACATGGAGTGAGTGGCCTCCATTTCCTTGTGCCACTGCTGACCCGCTTCCCCCTGCCTTGGGCTCCCTCCTCTCCGCCAAAGTGAGTCCAGCATCACCTGGGGACTCCCTTTTCCATGGGGATGGGGGAGGGGGCCTTCACCACCCCTTCCCACCCCTAGGCTTTGCAGTCCCCTATGCTGGGCTCTGTCCACTTGCCCCCACCACAGTCACGGCTGCACTGGGAGCCCATGAAAACGCATATGCTCCTACCCTGGAGCTGCATCCAGTCAAACCGGGAGCCCGGCTCTCACAGAGGCCTCTGTTATTCAGCGGCCCAGCCATACAGCCCACAGCAGGGGGTTTCACACCAACTTCCCTGCTGCTCCTTCTGATCCCAGCACCGCTGCTGCAGTGCCCATGTCAAACCCTCCTGCTGCCTTGTGGCCGTGGGGCCTGAGGCACCTCCAGCTTGTCCAGAGCTGCGCTGGAGCCCTTCAGGATTGGGCCGAGGTGGATGTGGCACTACCAGGGTGGGTGAGAGAGGGCAAATCCCTCTGCCACGCTGGAGCTGGACACATCTTTTCCTTGGGAGCTCCCTTCGGAGTCGCTCTGGGGGATCCTCCCCCTTTGCCCTGGCAGCAGCACCAGCGCTCAAGGTGCCAGGGTGGGAGTGCACAGATGGTGGGAGGGGATGGCTGACCCAGGAGGCTATAGAGACTATTGTGTCAGATTTATTCTCCCACTAATAAAAGGAGATGTTTCCTAGGTGCCATGCTTGCGGCTTGGGCTGTTGCTGCAGAGCTAGAGGCAAGAACATAGTCAAGGACTTTCACTCTGAAAGGGCCTCTTGCTTTTCTGGGCTCTTCATGGGCTGAGGGCAACGAGCTCATGGGGTGATGTGCTAGTGAATGAGGGCTGGATTCAGCCCTCCCTTGCGGGTGCCCAGTGCTTCTGATAGTATTGACTGATCAAGCAGTATCTGCGTGGGGCTGTCGGCTATAGGACAAGGGTGGTGGCAGATGCCTCAGTGGGACCTTGCAGTCACAGGAAAGGAAGGTGCTGGAGCAGCTCAGGACACCTTATACATCAAACCCTGGTGTGGATCTAGGGACACACTGTGAGGCATTTGAAATGCCCTTTGATGGCTCAGAGGATCATCCACAACCACATACCCCTTGGCCAGTGGTTTTTCAGTGCAATGATCCCCGTCCAGCTGGGTCTGCTTCCTGATCCAACCACCACAGTCAGTGTGGAGCCACCCCACGGTCCCGGAACACCCCGGCCTGCTCACTCTGTAGAGCAGCCCCGCCGGCTGGAGGCTCTATGGGGGCGCAGGAGAGAGCCCAGAAACGGATGGACAGGCCAGCACCCAGGCACTCACCTGGGGAAAGACTCTGCAGGGAGCAGGGACATCCCTGGGGAAGAGGAAAGCAGCAGTTGTGGGATGGGAAGGAGGAAGAAATGGGAAAAAGGAATGTGTTTGTGTGTCAACTGAGGGCAGGCTGCTGTGTGACTGGGGCAGCAGGCGCTGCCAGGGGAGCCCCATGGCAGGGTCCCTTGTGCAGTACTGGAGAGAGTCTAGCTTGGGGGGCTGCAGGGAGTCTGGGGTAGAGAATCTCCAGGACACAGGAACAAGGGACACAGAGTGCAACGGTGCTCTGTGTCCTTGTGCCAGTGGGGCCAGCCTCAGCTTGGAGCCTGATGGGGCACCTGACACGCACAGCTCTGCCCCCTGGAGCTGCTGTGCACACAGCTCTGCAGCCCCCTTCGCTAGGCACTGCTGCAGGGCCGCCCCCAGCCTGGGCTGCTCTGCTGGGTGGGCTGGGGAGAGGGCGGGGGAGGTGCAAGAGCTGGGGAGGGGCCGGGCTGGGCTAGAGGGGGCCAGTGTTGGCTGAGCTGTGTGAACAGGCAGGGAGAGGACATACAACAGGGGTTGTGGTGCAGGGCCTGGTCTTGTGTAGGGGAACCAAGGCCCACTCCGAGGCTCAGGGTCCCCTTAGAGACACCCTATGGTCTGCTGGGGGATCTAAATCTATCTCCAGACCTGTCATTTGGGATATAACGCTTGACTATTCATCACCTACAGGAGCACTGAACTGGAGCACACAAATGAGAACTGGATCCAGCCCTCACTGCCTGGAGCCCATGGAGAGCCTCACTTGTCACCTGTGAGCTTACTGCCTGGAGCCCATGGAGAGCCCTGGAAAGCAACAGGGTCTTGAACAGTGAAACACCTTGAGCAATTATGACTCCAGCTTTGGAAACACAGACCTACATTCAAGCAACACAATGAGGAAACTCACTATTATTAGAGCAAAGCCAAGACTGACACAGATGGGCAGACAGATGGGCAGCTTATTTCTGAGGAACCAGCACCAATTTAATGAGTTTCCTCAGTGCATCCTTGATCTCCTTGTTCCTCATGATGTAGATGAGGGTGTTCACTGTTGGAGGCACCACAGTGTACAGAATGGCCACCACCTGATCCAGAGCTGGTGAAGAGAGGGTGAGCAGGTGAGTGAACAGTGCAGTGCTGCTGAACAGGGAGACCATGGCCAGGTGTGGGAGGCACATGGAAAAGGCTTTGTGCCATCCCTGCTCAGAGGGGATCCTTAGCACGACTATGAAGATCTGCATATAGGAAAGCACAAGGAAAATTAAACACCCAAAGACTAAACAGGGAAAAACCACAGGAATTCCAGTTTCGCTGAGGGAAGAATGTGAATGAGAAAGCTTGAGGATCTGGGGGAGTTCAAAGAACTGCTCCATCACATTGCCTTGGCAGAGTGGTATGGAAAATGTGTTCCCAGTGTGCAGGAGAGCATTGAGAAATCCACTGCTCCAGGAACCTGCTGCCATTTTGACACAAGCTCTGCTGTTCATGAGGGTCCTGTAGTGCAGGGGTCTGCAGATGGCAACACAGCGATCACAGGGCATGATTGTGAGGAGAGAAAACTCTGCTGCTATCATGAAGACAGTCAGGAAGACCTGGGCAGCACCTTCAAAGCAGGAAGTGGCCTTGGTGTGCACCAGAGAATTGGCCATTGATTTGGGGAGAGTGGTGGAGGTGAAAATGAGCTCAAGGAGGGAAAGGTTGAGGAGGAAGAAGTACATGGGGGTGTTTAATTTTTGCAGGCTACGGCTGTGATGATGAGGCCGTTTGCCAGGAGAGCAGCCAGGTAGATGACCAGGAAGAGGGAGAAGTGCAAGAGCTGCAGCTCCTGCGTGTCTGCGAATGGCAGAAGTCAGCCAGCAAGAGAGCTGCTGTTGGACATTTGCATCCTCATGTCTTTGGGGACTGTCTAAAGAAGAGAAGAAATTGAGAAGTTAGGATTAACTTTTCAAAAAAAGAGAAAACTTCCAAGTCATTCAGTTTTCATATGCCCTCCTCCCACACATCCACACACAGTCTGTCTCTTTAACTTAGAGGATCTTTTTTTTTTCCATACCTTTGCTTGAGTTCTGCTTTGCACTGACTGAGTGTGCTGTGAGAAGAAGGGACCTCAGCCTCTGGACTCCAGGGAGCCTGTCCTGCTGTACAGCACTGGGAACCAGGGAACAGAGGGGACAAGCTTGACCATTCACCATTTCTGTCAGGTGAAATCCACTCAAGATGTCAATGGACCCTTCAGCATCTTCCTTCCCAAATATAAAGAGGGTGGTTTGAGTAACAGAGTTTTATGGAATTGTTCAATATTTTTTATTTGATTTGGGCCATTCTTGTCACCCCTGGGGAGTGTTCCTGAAATTAGACCTCCTTGGTATTTCTACTCTGAGTCCAGAGAGGAAACCATCCACTGTTGCTATGTGTAGATGGAGATATCTCATTTGTCTGTTTCCTAGCTATTTGATGCCTGAGGATGATCACTCTCCTATGCCGCCCTAATAGGAGAGCACACCCTGCAGAGGGCAGAGGAGTCCTGTTTCACAACGCAGATTTTCAGTTTCTCACCCTTTCTCCATACACTTAAGGGAGCCCACAACTCACAGGGCTCTTTTCAGCTGCCCATAGACAGATTCTCCCCACACGTCCATACCCTCAGCATCTCTGCAGCTTCCTCACGGGCCTCTCATAAAGCAGAGCCCCTTTCTAGAGGGCAGGGGGCAGCCTGGCAGGACAGCACAGGGAAATAGCCAAAGGACCATTAGCAGTGAGGATGGGCTCTCCTTAAGGGAGATACAGCTCATTTCCCAGCCCTGTGGACTGCATTTCATGGAGTGGCAAAGGACAGAATGGGTGGGAGAAGGAAGCAGGATGCTCTGTCCCTATGACAGTGTGGCAGGGAACGCCTGCTCTGAAGTATCTCCGAAGCCTGCTTTGCCCTGAATAATCCAGGAGAGAGACTATTAAAAAAAACCCAACGCACAATGACATGGACTGAGGGCAGAAGTCCCCTACATGAAAGTCAGCAACATTGTCCTGCAGCCAGACATTATCATGTAAACAGCTGTGAAGATTTTGCCATGCCCTGAATTCTGCTCTGTTCCCCTCACTCCAAACCACCGTTCACTCCTCACTGCCTTCTCTCCTCTCCTGTCCGAAGCAGCAGGCAGTGCCCGCAGCCCTGCTGCTCTTGGCACAGGAGCTGCTCCTGCACACGGCTGTTCTCCCCTCCGCCTGGGAAAAGTTCACGTCAATAAACTAAAACAATCAGCTACTGTCCTTTGCACGCAAGTGGAGAGAAAGAGATTGCAACGTTGTACTTTATTTCATCAAAGGATGACTATCTATGAAAGTTGGAAATGTGCCACTCGGGAAGCCTCATTTCACATCCCTTAACTAGACAGGAGACTGAGGTGTGGACAAGTGGGGAGTTCATTGACACAGGGTTCAGGTGCTGATTCAGAAATATCAATCTGGGCAGTACCTGTCTAGGCCTGGATCTGTAGTCGTATTCAGATCCTTCCTATAAACTCCACAAACACAGCAGTGGTGGGCTACCACTTGCCAAAACTGAAGTGAGCAGAGCACAGAGATCTGCACACGAGCTCCTTGTCGAAGGTCCTCTGCAATCACTGAAGATGAAGGGTGAGAGTCAGTGTTAGTCCATAATCTCAATAATCACCTGCACACTCAACCTGGTGGGCTGAAAAGCAAGCTTTTATTAGCCGTCTGGCAGCGGACCTCTTACAGTTTGCCAGAGATCCATGCCGTCTTAGGAAAAAGTTCGTGTTTTTATAGACAGCTGCAACTGCTTCATACATTATTTGCAATTACCAGTTCTTCATGGCTGATATCTTATCTCATGATTCCAGCAAGAGCAGGGTGGCTCAGCATAAGTAGCAAGCTATGTTCACAGAAGCACATAGCGAAAAGCAGGAGCACGGTGACTCAGCATAAGTAGCAAGCTATGTTCACAGAAGCGAATAGCGAAATTCGGTACCTAGTCACCTCAACCTTATTAACTTCTCATATAGACTCTCTTTGCACAGGGTCCTATAGTGCCAGTGCCTTCTTGCTCTGATGGAGCTACTGGGAGACCTGCAACATCCTAGAGCAGCAGTTGAGGTCCAGGTAAGGAATTGCCTTGGCCATCTGAAATGACCCCAGATGCCAATTACGACAACAGTCCCACTCCCTATGAAGTTGATGCATGGGAAGATTCCAGGATTAACCAGCAGCTCTTGTAATTCAGTGCGGAGTCTTGATCTGATGGCACAGAAAAGTGCTGACAGGCCCTTGTCAGATGCCTGGGGTGTCCAGCATTACCATGTGTCTCTTGCAGGTACAGCAGGGGACCTATAGGAAAACCATGCCCTCTTGGCATAATGGTTGGGCAAGTGCCCCAGGGCATCCTGCGTTCCTGTCCTGTACCCAAACACAGACATTCCAGCACAAATGGGAGGCACTCCCGCACCGCCAGCTCTCTGCTCCAGGCTCTGCACTCTCAAACCTTTCTAGCTCTCCTCCCCTGAACTTCCATTCGTTCTACCACATGATATGAACAGACAACGGGCTAATGAGGCCCTCTGGGTGACTGCATCGTAGGCGGTCAAGGCCCATGGACATCTTCAGTGGCACCTTGTTCTTCCTGAACCAGCATCAGGTACAGGAGAGAGCGTCCGTTGGGCTGCTTTGTGTGAGAGGAAATGCCCATGGCCAGGAATATGTGTCCCCTCACTGGAGAAGCTCCTGCCTGGCTATCTTGGCCCAGGTCTCCTTCCCCACCATCCTCGTGCTCTCCGTGCAGGTTCCATCCCTGCCGCCTGCCTCTCCCTCCAGCCTCACTGCTCACCTCCCTCATGCGCTCCTCTGCTCCAGAGATCCCGTCCATGGAGGAGCAGCAGCTGTTTGCCTGCTGCTCCATCTCCATCTCCAGAACTCGCTCTGGGGACAGCTTTGCATGGTCAGCGTGTTTCCGGCCAGTCCTCTACCCAGACAGACGTGTCCTCACAGTCCATGTCACAGCCCTGTCCTCTGATCAGCTGCTCACACTGAGGGGACCTCACAGGCCCTTGGCAGGTGCTGGTCCTGCTGCTGGCCCATACCAGCACTACCTTACTGTTACTGACCTCCACAGACTCGCTCTGGGGACAGCTTTGCATGGTCAGCGTGTTTCCGGCCAGTCCTCTACCCAGACAGACGTGTCCTCACAGTCCATGTCACAGCCCTGTCCTCTGATCAGCTGCTCACACTGAGGGGACCTCACAGGCCCTTGGCAGGTGCTGGTCCTGCTGCTGGCCCATACCAGCACTACCTTACTGTTACTGACCTCCACAGGTGGTGACTTATGTCTGAGGCCAGGGCACTGCTCTCTCGTAGACTCTTTCCTGGGAAAGCACTGCAGGAGAAAGCATACCCTGGAGAACAACCTTGCCCATGTTCCTGGGACCAATGACAGGGTCCCTTCTGTGTGAGAATGTGACATGCCAGCAGCAGGGCCATGGCTGACGTTTGTACCCTGAGGTCATTTCTGCCTGAGGAGTTGATAGCCCCAAACTTCTGACTCTGAAAACACTTATTGCTCTGGAAAGGCCAGAGGGGGCCCTTAGCTCCCATAGGCTGTTGAGATGTTGCCTCAGTGTCCGGTGTTGACAAGGCAGAAAAGGCCCATAATTTGGATGTTGGTTGTGTTGGCCTTTCTGCCTCAGCACCTGATAGGCCAGCAGCAGGCACATGGCCTGGGTGTTGGCAGTGAGGTCACCACTGTGCCCGTCCCAATATAGGGAAGCAGCAGGCACATGACCTGGATGTTGCTAGTGAGATCACTGCTGTGCCAGTTCCTGACTGATAGGCCAAAAGTGTAGATATGGGTCTGATGGTGACTGTCAGGTTCTCTGTAGACCTGAGGCCATCAGCAGGCTCTTGGTTGCTGAGATTTCTTGTGACGTCACCTCTGTCCCTGCTGCTGATAGGCCAGAAACAATTGAAGGTTCCAGGACACATTGTGAGGTCACTGCTGCCCGCATGCAGTATTGGCCAGCAGCAGGACCAGCACCTGCCAAGGGCCTGTGAGGTCCCCTCAGTGTGAGCAGCTGATCAGAGGATGGGCCTGTGACATGGACTGTGAGGACGCATCTGTCTGTGCAGAGGACAGGCCGGAAACACGCTGGCCATGCAAGGCTGTCCCCAGAGCGAGTCCTGCAGATGGAGAAGGAGCAGCAGGTGAACGGCTCCTCCTCCTCCATGGTCGGGATCTCTGGAGCGCAAGAGTGCACGAGGGAGGTGAGCAGTGGGGCTGGATGGAAAGGTGGCAGCAGGGATGGGACCTGCACAGAGAGCACGAGAATGGTGGGGCTGAGACCTGGACCAAGATAGCCAGGGAGGAGCTTCTCCAGCTAGGGGACATGTATTCCTGGCCATGGGCATTTCCTCTCACACAAAGCAGACCAATGGACACTCACTCTTGTATCTGATGCTGGTTCAGGAAGAACAAGGTGCCACTGAAGAAGTCCATGGGCCTTGATAGCCTTTGATGCAGCCACCCAGAGGTCCTCATTAGCCCATTGCCTGTTCATATCATGTGGTGGGATGAAGAGAAGTTCAGAGGAGGAGAGTTAGAAAGATTTGAGAGGGCAGAGACCGGAGCAGAGATGTGGCGGGGCGGAGGTGCCTCCCATTTATGCAGCACTCTGGATGTAGACGGGATGGGCTTTCCCTA